CACCTACTGTGTTTCAATCCAACCAAGTGAGGAATGCATTCAAATCAATTTTTTATTGTAAATTGCAGCAGCTGACATCTTTTAAGTGGACGACTACTTTCGCAGTATTTTCTCAAATTTGACTGTGTTGGCCGGAGTTCTTATGAGCACCTCACATTCGCCACGAAATATGACCAGACGGTCCTCCCATCACGTCATTACGGTGCGAACATTAAAAGGAGCTGTTAAACCTTACAATGATAAAACAATTCAAGCGATATTTCAATGCTGAAATGCTGTGCTGAAAGCTACCAACGTCTTTAGTGATGTTGCAGTTCCGTAGAGTGAAAATCGTTGTTACTCCTGTATATTCTATATGAAGCTGTCTGACAGAAGGTACGGACAAAATAGAATTTATGGACGCTAGTCATTTCATGGAGTAAAATGCACTGGACGACACTTCGTTCAATTATAGCAACAATTGTTGTGCTCCAACAACCTATATTTTCTGTACGTCTTTCTTTGCTTTGCAACTGTAATGTGCAAAGCATGCAGCTGTTTTATCTCTGAGCAGCGGTCCCGAACTCAGATATTCCGAATTCCGAAATGTGAGAGGTAAGTTGCTGAAGAATATTGTTGAATATTGACTAAGTTGCTGAAAAATATTTATTCTTGCAGGATAATTTGACTTATATACTTGTTGTTAATTATAAAAGTAAATTAATTAATGATATGCAATAACCGCCATCGTTAGAAACCATTTAGGTGCACGTTTATCACACTAAATTGTTGTTCTGCTGTTGTTTCAGGCTTACAGATCTTGAAATACGGTTCTTTATGTAGGTCATATTTGAATCTGATTCAAATTAGTTTCTTATAAGTTAGTTTATTTGATTATAAATATTTTAAGATTCCGCTGATAATGACATGGGCATCATTGGCGGAATACCGCGCAACCACTTTTCATGACAAAAATGAACGGTTCAATTCTCCATCTGAAAGTTTAGAAATCAGTTAGCGCTGTTTACGATCATCCCAAGATTTAAACTGTAATTATAGCTTCATTTCCATACTAGTAATGTGCATGTCAAAATATGTTTCAGTTACGTGGTGATAGTACATAGGAAGTCTGCTTCGTACTCGAGTTCTAGAGCTCCCGAGTTCAGTTCCCGCGGCAATTCATCCTTGTCTTTACCAAAGCATTTCATTGACTAAATAAGTTACCATATGTTTTTTCAATCCGTGGTTGCTCTGCCGATAGAGCTTCGAATTTCCAACCGAAAGATAATCAGTATTTTTTTTCCGAAGCTGGTAAATGAGCTTCGCTCTGACAAATGAGTCGATTGAAAACAGATTGCAAATTATTCTTGTCATAGGCATTGTCGATTCTGCCTTTAAGAAGATAAGGTACTCATGGCCAATAAAGCAAAAAACCGAGCAGGGCCACCACCTTTGGCTTCATGAAAACAAGGGTGCCAGAAATTCCTCTATCATGCATGTGTAAGGAAGACCGCCATACCGACAATTACAAACTTTCCTTCTTATCTTGGAAATTTGTAGCAAGTTTGTTTCTAGGTTTGTTTGCTTTAGTGTTATTTACTTTTCTAATCATTCAATAAAACAAGCTTATTTTGTGGTTATTGCGTCAGCAGTAAATTTCAACTTTCAACGGAATTATTTTAAATTGCTCCTTACCGAACCGTGTGTAAAGAGTATAGTTAGAGCCAGTAGAAAAAGTTCAGTCATTCAAGTTCCGTTTTAAACAAATATCACTCGCGATAAAGTTTTCGTTGGTCCGATGATGTACAATGTATACAAAACGTCAACTAATAATTCTAATTGCATACTGCAAATACATTAATAATAATGTTCATTCCAATTGTAATGTAGCTGAGTTACAGAAAAAAAGTTCCCTGAAAAACCGAACAAGATAGGAAAAAATTGAGAATCTAAAGATTTTTGTTTTGATAAGTATTTTAGTAATCTCTGTTCTGTAATTAAGGTGCAAAATGGCCTTGATTTCAGCATTCGGTACTCCTACCATCCGGTTATAAAAGAAAATTTTAAGTAACATTTATTACGAGAATTCACCTTTGATAAATTCAAATCGGAAAACATTTTTTGCTCTACAGATGTAATATATGAAACGTAAAGTAAACGTAGAGTAGAAACTTAGAAATAATTTAATGAAATGATTAAGAACTTCATGACAGCTACATAATGACGGTTTTGTTAAAATGCACAAACGTGATTAACAGGTTGTGTTATTATAATTTCTACAAACGCGATGCGTAGGTCATCATTGACCGGTGGGTTTAATCTTTAGTACCTGTGTAAGTTCTGTTTTAAGTTAACGAAAATATTCGTTTGGGAAATATTCTTAAGCAAGATACCAAGTTAGTTAAGGTAAGACGGTTTTGACGGCAGTGTTACAAAACTTTGGTCTGACGATTTTGTTGAATGTGTGTGCTTCGCTTGAATCCTTTGGTATTATTTTTATATATTTTCTAGCAGCAAACCCTGTGTTCACTATAAATTTGCGACTTTTGTAATTTGTGCCGTGTCCATTCGGGCCGAAACTGATTTGTGATTTAGTCCAAGGTAGTAATATCACGGGCTTACTGGATAATTATGAAGCCTTTTCTTGTTTCTAAGCCTGAAAATTGCTGCCCTCATACTTAAATTTACGCCATGGATTTTTTGTAGACTAAGAACGATAGTATTCGCACTGAGTAGTGTTTTCCGATATGTTCGTGCCAGGTCAAGTCATGACTGCTAAATTAATTTATGATTCCTAAGTGTCTTGTGTAATGCACCTGTGCTAACAGGTCGTCATACATAGTTAGTGTGCGGGAAAGAAGTTCAGTTTCTAAAAAACCATTCTAGGCAATAAATGCCGCAGTATTTTAGGTTTTGTGGACTTTCCCCAAACTTGCGTTCAAAATTTATGGCTCAGTAGTACCTAATGGGTTTTAACAGAGATCTGAGGAGCTCCATTGATAAGGCTTCAGTATTGAGAGTTAAAAACTGCGAAATGCCACAGACTTATGGTCATCACCATAAATTGTTTGCATGAGCAGGACCTCTCGGCTGTACTCTCAGCTTTTCAGTACTTTCTCTGTTATTGCATCATAGAAAGAACAGTTTCTGTTCG